TTACAGACATCCAGCTCTCTCTCTCTGAACCACTCAACCCAAAAGCTCAGGGGTAGAAAAGAGAAAACGAGGCACCTGAAAAAGTTTGACACAAGCTTTGAAAATCTCCAATGACAAATCACAAAGGGAATAGGACATCTGAAGAAAGGAGACAAAAGTCCAAATTCTCCATTTATTAGACTTGTCATTTCTGAGTTAACAGATCTTCAATCGAATCAAGGAATGGAAAGATTAGTGCCAACACAGCCACACACAGATACGTACCCATAGACACACACATACACACAAATTCAAAAATCCCACAATAACACGTCTTGACTTCTGGAAGAAAGTTATCTTCACCCAGGGAGACGAGGTTTCTGTAGTTCTGCAGCATCACGTCCCTGTAGAAAACCCTCTGGGCAGGGTCTAGGCGTTTCCACTCGTCCCGAGAGAATACTATGGCCACATCCTTGAATGTCAACCGTACCTAGAATGAAAAACACATTTCACCAAGTGACTATGCGGTGAATTCTGCTTTTCACATAAAATGAGAAGAGGAGTGAATGGTACGAGTAGATTCAATGGAGGTGAAATGGCGGACACATCCACGTAGTGATAATGTGACATCTGTATTTGGTCTTCATATCTCTTTCCTGACAAGAAATCACTTGGAATGTTTGGAGCAAGAAGTATCTTTCTGTATGCGAATACAACCACCTGGTTATTACCAGAAAGATTAAGGCAGAATTAGAGGATTGAGACTTCCAGCCCCATCATTCAACACTGCATGAAGGGAAGAGCCACTCAAGATTCAGTTGAACACAGTAGCCAATAATGTAAACAGTCACACCTACAAATGAAGCCTCCAGAAAAATAGGAAATTAAAAAAGGGAGTTTGGGACAGGCAGATATGCAGAGGCTCCTTGAGAAAGGGGCATACCCAAAGTGGGCATGGAAGCTCAGAGCCCATTCCTGCCCAATAGCTTGCCTATGCCTGGCTTGCCCAGTAGCTTGCCTATGCCCGGCTGTTCATGTGTGTACTTTGTGATAGTCCTTAAAGTGAATGGGCAAATTGAAGTGAAGTGTTTCCTTGAGTTCTGTGAGACACTCCAGCAAATTAAATAAGCTCCAAAAGGGGGTCATGAAAATTTATGACTCATAGCCAGTGAGAAGCAAAGGCCACAACCTGTTTGCCAACGGCTCTGAAGTAGGTGCACTTTTGTTGGACTCAGCCCCTATGCCTGTGGGATCTTACACTCTGTTCAGGTAGATAGTATCAGAACTGCATTGAATGAGAGGACACCCAGCTGGGTCCACTGCAGAATTGCTTGCTTGGTGTGTGGTAGAAAACCTACACCTGGAATACTGTGAGAATATAGCAGGAAAAATACAGTGCTGTGAGAATATAGCAGGAAAAAAATGGAGTCATTTTCACCCTATATTCTCATACATAAGGTATTTTGGAGCACATTATCTTTGCCTACTTGATTTATTAGTTTTCCTTGGGTGTGAATTTCCCAGTTTTCTGGACAATACAATAAATGTACAATTAAAAAACCAACACAAGTTTATGTCTATAGAAATGTTAGATATTATGTCTAACACACCAGCGACATCAGTCTCTCAATGAGCTAGAACATGAGTGGTATTTTCAGAGATGACAATGTCCAGTGCTGCTTTAAAGAAAGAATCTTACAACTGTGATGACAACAGCAGTAGGAATGACAGACATTTGAGAACAGTGGCCATGATTCTAAGTCCTTTAGACATACTAACTTATGTGACATAACAGCCTATGAGAGAAAGCTCTGTTCCCATCTTACTGAGGAGATATGATTGTGTCTCCTTTATAAGAGTCACACACAATGTAAGAAACTCACCTCATATTAATGAGCTAAAAATGACAGCACAATCCCTACACTCAGCTGTCTGGGAATTAAAATTAGTCCTAAATCATCAAATAGTAAAAGGAACAGGTATGCTTTCTGAGAGAGCAGCTGGGAACTCAAGGCCCTGAATAATCCTTCTAAGAGGATACCCAGGATGTTTAAAATGTTAAAGCATTAAGCAAGGCTACATGATCAAGGGCCTTCAGATTTTTCATTAAACAATCCTAATTTTAAGAGTACAAGAGAAAGCAGGGGTCGGTATAGCTGTCCGTGGTCCTGCAAGGGTGGTAAGTTTGAAATAATTCATTAATTTACTAATGTCTACTAAGGTCCAATGGATTTCCAATGTTTTTCCAATATCCTTTTAGGTAACATGTGTCAGTGGCTGCCCACAGCTCTTTCCTTTACCATTCTACTCTGAGTGACTAACATATAGATTGGGCTAAATAGTTTCTTGTTATTGAACTGGCTAAAAAAAGAGTCTTGTGCTTAAAAATGTCCCAGTCCTTAAGGTGCTACACTATGGCTGAATTCCCTGAACTATCGTGAAATGAGGTTTAAGAAATAAACTATAAGAAATAATTAGAGTGCTGGCAGTGGTGGCTCACACCCGTAATCCCAGCGATTTGGGAGGTGGACGTGAGAGGATTGCCTGAGACTAGGAATTCGGATCAGCCTGGGCAACATGGCGAGACTTCGTCTCTACAATAAATACACTGGCCAGGTGTGATGGCACACACCTGTGGTTCCAGCTACTTGGAAGGCTGAGGTGGAAGGATCACTGAGCCCAGAAGGATGAGGCTGCAGTGGTTGTGAGCGAGCCACTGCACTCCAGCCTGGGCAACAGAGTGAGACTCCGACTCCAAAACAAAAATAAATAAAAATAAAATAATAATAATAATCAGAGAATGTAGAGTATAATTATGTGGGGGCAGAATTAGTAACACAATATATTAATCAGGCCTAGTTCAATTAATATTTTATGAAAAAATATACTTAAAAATGTTAGATGTAAGAGATTTTAAACTGGAAGTAGAACCAAAAGTTCAAAGATGATGAAATATTGATATTGATTTAATGTAAAGTGATGTCTAGAACATATTGTAGAAAGTAAGGTGTGTCTCTGTATAATTTAACCCTTTGCACTCAGAGACATCTTGTGGATCACCTATCAGTAATTTAACCACACTTTTTTTTGAATTAGCGAAAACTAATACAAAGTATTAAATAGTATAGCATTGGAACCAAGTATTTTACTATAATGATATTTGGCTAACAACGGAATTTTGGACACTGAAGAACTTATTTATGACAAAACATAAAAAGTTTATATCTTATATTTTTCTCAAATATGGTAATGTGTGAAACAGTCCCGAAAGTGCATCGTAGGTTCACTGATACATGTTGTGCAATAGTAATTTTTTGGATATCGTCCATCTGGTGTTTTTCTATTCGACCAGACAGTAAAGCCTCGTTTTCTTCCTCCCACATTAACAATATGTAACTCATTGCCCAGTCTTTGCACCACTTTGAAAACACTTCACATATCCTCTTTCTACATAACACCAACTCATTTTTTTACATATATCTCATTATATATTCCATCTCCTTATGTGCATTTTTGCACATTTTGAATGGAAAACTTCAAGGAAGTACACATTTTTGAAAAACTTGTGCTTGCATAAGTGTGTCCTGTATAATCACCAGCAATCTCTTTATGTCTCATGAGAGGGGACATCTGACTGGTTTCCTAGTTTTACGATGTTCCCTCACAGGGGACATCAGAGTGCAAAGGACTCAAGAAGCATAATATGGTTTGCACACAGTTGGAATACATCCAGCTTACAAGGGACCTATCTCAAAGAACTCTACTGGAGCCAAATGAGGTTACCAAAGACACCAAACCACTTCCTTTGTTACAATGCCACACCGATACAAAGAAGTCCATGCAAAAGTCCAATTTTAACACTGAATTACATAATTTCTCACTGGAAACCCATGTAGAATCAAAAGATAGAACAAAGAAAAAAGGAATATGGGTTTTGCATAAAAATGCAAATTTCCAGATGAAGGAAAACCATCCTTGGAAGAAAGCTGATTGAATTCAGTTACAAAACCACTTTTGAATGATTGTATTCCTCAGTGGGGAGTAACTGTTTCCCTTGCCAGTGAGAAGGGGCCTTTTCTCACAGGTTGCACTGTAAAACAAATCAGTAAATTCTCCAATATACAATAATTCTGCCACTATTCTTGCCACTCCCAAGAGCAGGAGCAGGAAAGAGATGAAAAGAAATGTTCAGAAATCAAATTATTAAACTCTTTTACATAAAAATTGTAAATGTCCTAAAAACTTAATTTTTGCCTTCATGAAAATGAAGATCACCGTGAGCAGGAGATCTAGTGAAAAACCCTGTTCGTTATTTGCCAGGTTGGTTCGTATCAGGTGTTCCTGGCAATTCTAAACACTCTACAGTTAAGAGACACAGCCCATGTAAGAAAGGTCCTGTCCTAGCACACAGCCCTTCAAACCTCCAGTGGACACAATAAACATGCCAGTACATCACAGTGCACCAACGGCCTCTTCCCTGTATCACTATTGGTTGAGCCTAGGGAAAGAAAATCAACTTGTTAGGACAAGAATCTCCTCTCTTCTTCGAAGCCAGGATTTTAAGGAGATTCCTCATGGCCAATAAGATGTCAAAGGGCCTGGCATCTTTTTAGACTCATCTAACCACTTAAAGAGCTGGCTTTGTTTGAAAGGGAATGATCACTAGAAAGCATTATTAAGGAAGTGCTCAGAGGTACAGACCAAAGAAATGATGTATGTGGAACAGACTAGGAGACGGTTATGTTCATCTTGATGTTAGGATTTTTGATGTCTTGATTATGCTTACCTGTACTATCCTATGTATGTCTTCTAATACCAAGTCCTCCAAGATAAGCTGCTCGCAGTCAAGAAGAACTGCCTCAACAGCAAAGAGCCCTGATTCCTAAACCTGGTTATGGTCACTGATTGACCCATGTTGAGTTCTTTTAGAGCAAGTACTGTTCCATCCTTTATATTTTCAGAGCAGACTACTACTCAATGTGTTATTCTGCTTACGCTAGAAGTAGAATCCTCCCTTCTGTGACCCACTGGAGTGGGCACCCCAAATCTTATAATGTTGCCTTCAGGGAGGCTGACCACCAACAACCTCTCCGAAGGAAGCCAGATAGTAAAAGCTGGGTAGTGAAATGCCAAGGTTCCAACAGCTGATAATAAGATATACAAAGGAAAAGGAAACATGACCCATTCAAATAAATCACCACAAACTTATACTAAAGAAACTGAGATATTTGAATTACCAGACAAAGATATAAGAGTTCCAAAAATGGTCAGTGAGAGTGCACATAGACAACTTCAGGAAATCAGAAAACGATGTATGAACAAAATGAAATTATCAACAAAAAGATAGAACCTATTCAGAAGAATCACAGAAATCCTAAACCTGAAAATACGCAACTAAATTGAAAAAGACACTACAGTGGTTTAAAAACAGACTAGACCAGGTACAAGAAATAAATAGTGAACAGACAAAAGAGGGAAAAGAAGAAGAAAAATGAAAAAGGACAAAGGGAATTATGAAACACCATCATGTGTATCACCTGCATGTCAAACTAACAATAAATAAATGAAACAGATAACTATCAAGTACGTACCAACATAATAGTTCGCCTTGAAAAAATGAATAAATCTCTAGAAATATACAACTTACCAAGACTGAGTCAAGAAGAAATAAAAAAATCTGTACATAACTGTAAGTAGTAACGAGATTTAAGTATTTAAAAAAAAAACTCTCCAGTTGGACAAAACAGTGCAAAAAAATAAAATGAATAAAAAATGAGCCAGGTACAGTAACACATGTCTATCGTCCCAGCGACTCAGGAGGTTGAGGTAGCTTAGGAAGACAAGGCTACAGTAAGCCATAACCATGCCACTGCACTCCAGCCTGGGTGACAGACTGAGATCTTGACTCAAAAATAAACAAACAACACTCCCAAACAAAGAGACCAGAAACAGATGCATAATTCATCCTCACTTCGCAATTCTAGCAAACATTTGATGAAAAATTAACACTAATCCTTCTAAAAAGGTTCCAAGTAATAAAAGAGGGAATCAAAAAACTCACTCTTGGAGCCCACCATTGCTCTGATACCATTCATGCAATATATGCCGAGAATACAAAACTACAGACTAATATCCTTTTTAAATATTGATGAAAAAGTCCTCAGATAGGTGCAGTGGCTCATGCCTGTAATCCTAGCACTTTAGGAGGCAGAAGTGAGAGGAATGCCTAAGTGTGGGTTTGAACCTGGGCAACTTGGTGAGACCTCATCTCTACAATAAATCAAAAAATTAGTTACCTCCAGGAACTTCCACATGTCAAGCTATCCTGTCACTCTCTGAACCCTGTCCTTTTGGGTTTTCATAGAAGCTTCATTAAATAGGCAGGAATAATGAAATCACTGCCACTGGTGATCAAATTAAATTTCATCTCTTCTCCCTCTGGTAGTTGAGTGGAATTGTAAAACCCAACTCTTCAATCCTGTCTTACATTCCGGTGAAGTTATTTATTTATTTATTTATTTATCTATTTATTTATTTATTTATTTTTGAGTTGGAGTCTTCCTCCGTCATCCAGGCTGGAGTGCAGTGGCACACTCACAGCCAGCCCAGCAATGATCCTTCCACCTCGGCCTTCCAACTAGTCAGAACTACAGATGTGCACTACCATGCCTGGCTAAGTTTTTCATTTATTGTAAAGTTGAGGTCTCACCAAGTTGTCCGGGCTTGTCTCAAATCCATGGTTGTAGGCAATCAACTCACCTTGGCCTCCCAAAGTCCTGGGAAGACAGGCTGAGCCACCAAGCCTGGTCCCAGCGAAGCCTCTTAGTGGTTGCCAGCTATCAGCCAACACATTTGTATACAAATAATAAACACTCACAGCAGGTGTGGTGTCTCACATATGTAATTCCAGCACTTTCGGAGGCCGAGGCAAGAGGATTGCGTGAGCCAAAGGGTTCAAGATCAGCCTGGACAACTTGGCAAGATCTCATCTCCACAACAAATCAAAAAAATTAGCTGGGTATGGTGGAACACGCCTGTGTTTCCAGCTGCTTGGAAGGCTCAGACGGAAAGATCACCTGCGCCTAGCAGGTCAAATCTGCAGTGGCCACGAGTGTGCCACTGCACTTCAGCCTTGGTGTCAGAGTGAGACTCCACTCAAAACAAAAAAGTAAATATATAAAACACACACACACACATACTCTGGAGATTCTAAAGACTTTGGGCTTATTTTCCAGGAAACAGGGTCAAGGATCAGGTATACGTAAACTCTCAAATATTAGATCTGAATTAAGGATACCAATGTGTAATAAGGGACTCTGTGAGGTCTTCTAAATCAAGATACTACAAACAAACAGATATACAAAAAAGACAAGAAGCATGAAGGAAAGATTTCTGTTTCAAACTAAAAAACTATATAATCTAAGAAGAGACAACTGAGCATATAGATTAAGAATAAAACCAAGAATAAATATAAAACAGTTCCTAAAATACCTTTTCAGAAAATGGAGCAATGTATACAAATCCATCATTTTAAAAATGTATCCATTCCATGAAGGAATAAAACAAGCAGAGACTCATAAGAAATAAAATGGAAATACAAGGGGTTGTAATTTTCCCCAGATTTTCAAACTGTTAATAAAAACATGACAATAACTTTTGTTTAATAAGTGGGAGATCTCACATGGTGTTGGTGACAGATGACACCTTTGCAGCTCAGGGTAGAGACAGGATACTGCCAGATCTTTCACTACAGGATATGCCCCATCCTAGAAGAACCAGCACTCTTTCAACTGTGTAACCTAGGAAGCCTCTGATATCTGGAATGAAGACTGCATGCCCAGAAGCAACCAGTGTGGCATTCTTTACTTTTCTTTTCCTTTTTTTGTGTGTGGAATTCTTTATATCAGTGAAAAGACTGAAAGACCCACCTGTCTTCATTCAGAGAATGCTCCAAGGATATAGAAGAGAGAGCCATCAATGTCTCTTAACTTTGAAACATGCAAATTTTCAAAATGTGCAGGTTAAAATACTGCAACACAAATTCACTTGCTATGGCTGGGCCCAGTGACCCGAAATCCCAGCACTCTGGAGGCGGTGGCGAGAAATTTCCTGAGCTCAGCCTGGGCAACTTGGTAAGACCTCATCTCTACAACAAAATTTAAAAATTAGCTGGGCATGGTAGTGAACGCCTGTAGTTCCGGCTACTTAGAAGGCTGCAGCAGAAGGATCTTCTGAGCCCAGCAGGTCAGGCTATGGTACGCCGTAAGTGAGACTCCGACTCAAAAAAAAAACAACTCACAAAAACCTTTTAACCAGGTAAAAATACATTCTACAGGACTCTCATGGACTCTCCCCACAGAACAGAGAACAGTGGTTCCCCAATGCAATGTGAGGAGGTGTGGCTGGAAAGGAAGGATAATTTTTACTAGAAAACAAATGTATACATCATATCATGTTTATAAGAAGAGAAATAAAATGCTTACCAATAATTGGCAACAAGATTATGGTTTTATTCTCTCTAAAGGCATATAAGTGATGCTCCTAGGTCTTAGAAAAATTATAATCATCCTCACCTAAAACATATGTTGCACAAGGGTCCCTAAAGGAACACCAGTGTCCCTATGGTATGATCCTGTGAGTACAGTTTAATGGATCTCCTGTTGGTTGACATATTCTCTCACATATTAAAACAGATGATGGAATGAAACATCCTATGTCACTGAGGCCCCTGACTCAACTTTCCATCCCATTCCCAGTCATTAAGAGTGAACTCAAAAGCACAACGCCTTCCTTATTCAGCTTCAAATGTATTATCAAATCAAGCTCAAAATATTTACTCTCCTCAGTCTCGTATTCCAGAATTTACCAGATCCTTGTGCACACTGATGTATAACTGCCACATGCACATCCTCTAACCCTGATCTAGAGAGCTGATGTGGCCCCAAGACAACCCTGTTGCCCAAAAGATCTCATACAACAAGGCTCACACCCCATCTCCATCCACATCTCAATGAGCCCTTCCCAGGACCATGCTCCATGGAACTTCCTCATGTTTCACCACACTAGGTCATGGGGAGATGGAATCTAGGTGGAGACAAGAGGGACTGAGGGAAGACGGGGTGTGTGAGCAGACAGGAGAGTAAGGATGTTTCAGACCCAGAGGGGATGAGTAACTCCAACGCCTGAGATTTCACACAGGAAGGAGACAGGACAATCCACTGAGAAGGTCGCTTTACCGGAGACAGAGCCATCCCTAATGGCTTTTCTTGACTCCTCCTCCGCTTCGGGGCTTCTTCATGCACCATGAGGCTTTAGACGTCAATCCTAGATGGCAAAAACATACTGTTATTGCTCAGAATCAACACGTCCCTGTCCTATGCCTCAATCACAAACAGCAGCGACCTCGCCCTGTAGAAAGACTGTGTTTTGCTGCCCATTGCCCCAGAGGGAACACAAGGACAATAAACTCCTACAAAAAAAAAACCAAGTGAGTTTTTTGGCCCCTTTCTTCAGAACCTGCTCCCCTCCTGGAGGAGCCTACACACTCGCTTCAGCAGTCGGGAGCTGGACTGGACTGAGTGCCCATCCTGGAGACCCGGTCCTGATCAAATCCCATGAAGAGTACAGCCCTCCACCCACCTCTGTGTGGATCACAGACTGACGTCCGTCCTCAGAAATGGAGGACACAGGGCCTTGGTGCTCTATGCTGGAAAAGAAATCGAATCAACATAGAACATTAGGCTGGGCCCAACCTATTTGAATGAAAGTATCTGGTAAGAGGGCATAAGAGATATTTTCCAAAACACCTCAGGACTCTAATGAGAAGCCAGGATTGAGCTCCTCGCAGGGGGCAGGCCCAGCCCACCTCCCACCTTCTGGTTCTGTTCTCACCTTGTCATCTTTTTGTCGCCAGGATTCAGACAGCGAGAGACAAGGGAAAAGGAAAAATCAAATGCAGAGCAGGCAATATGGACCAGAGGTCAGGCTGAGGGTGTGGCTGGAATGTCAACTGGGGACACGGGAAGGCACAGAAGCCTCCACCAGGAAGATGACATCATAAGAACGACCTGGGGAAGGAAGGGTATTTGCACCTGCAGCTGAGGGTCAGAGGGTTCTATGCAGAGGGACAGCCCAATTGAAAGGCCTGAGGCAGGAGCAGCTTCCACCCCAGGAATAGGGGAGAGCCCCGTGTGGCTGGAGCAGAGCGAGGAGATGAACAGAAGAGAGATGAAGCCAGAGGGATCCTGGGCAGCAGATCAGGGAGGAACCAAAGCTCCAAACATTTTTCTCCCATACTTCAAAAAGGTTTTGGAAATATGCAATTCATCTTAAGTAAACAAACATTTTACCTTTTTCTATAAATAAATTGGCTCACAAATAATGTCACATCTTCTATATCTTAACTACATGTGAACAGTTTCAGCAAGGCCTAGGAAGAACAGGCTGGCCCTCATCTGAGATGTGCAGGATTGCAGGGAACGCGTTTGGAGTTTAGGAAGTTATTACTGGACACGTGAAGGGAGAGAAGATTGTTAGACATCCCATGAGAGTTTAGGGGACAGCTGGACCCAGGTTCAGGGGAGAGTTCTGCAGGCCTAATGGAGACATGCAGATCGGTTTAAATCCAGGAGATAAGATGACAAGGAAAGGCAGTGTGTGCAGATAGAAACGAGAAAATGTTCAAGGACTGAGGCGGGGTCATGCCACATTCAGAGAAAAGGAAGATCAGGAGACACCAGAAGAGGAAAGCAGGAAGTGACTAGGGAGGCAACAAGGAAATTAACACAAAGAGTTTCTAAATATTAATGGCATCTGCTCAAAGCCAAGATAACAGAGAAAGTGTTCATCCTGACACATGCAGTTCATAGGCAAAAAAATTAAATATTGGATTTAGAAATGGGAGGATACTGGGGACTGAAAAACAAAGGATCAGCGAAATGTTGGATGTGAAACCTTGATTCAAGGACGAATTCAAGGGTTCAAGCAAGAACTCAAAAAATGTAAGAAGTTTTTAATGCATTATGCTTGGAGCATAGAAGTGGGTAACTTACTACAGAGAAAAGTAGTTAGGAGAATCTTTTGTTTTAAAGATGAAAGAATGTAAAAAAAAAGGCAGTGTGTGTGTGTGTGCCTGTGTCTGTTTTAATGGACAACACCTCCATCTGAGTACGCTGATCCAAATAATTCCCTAGATGTAAAATTGATAATGCCTTGGAAGAAGTAGGCCATACTGTCTTGAGACTGCAAGGGAGGCTGGCACATGAGACACGATCATAGGGTCAGCAACAGCCAGGAGCACGGACAGACCATTCCCAGTCACTATGGTGATCTCAGGCCTTGAGACAGGAGGGTAGGCAGGATGGAAAACATCCCTTCCCTTCACTGTATGAGATGCGAAAAACCCAAACTGCTGTGACCACTCTCACACTCAGTACCGAATACTTCACCTCTAGTGACCAAAACATGTGTACGGTTTTTCCTACCCTTACCAGTCCTCCAGTGGACTCCCAGTTGAGGGTCTTACAATTTATCTCAATTCTACCCCTATCTACAGGATAACATCAAACCCACACGTTAAAGGCTCAGTTCCACAAGGCTGCCCCCTCACATGCAGGCATCATTGCCACTTTCTGACTCACCTCCTAAATATTGTGGTTTCTTCACCCCCTCCTTGGATTTAACTAAGTTGCTAGGACAGTTCTTACAAGCAGTTCTTCTGTATCCTTCTGTGAGCCACTCAGTAAAATAAATTTAACCAAGGGAGGGGGTAAGGAAAGTGTCATATTTTTTTTGAGCCAGAGTCTTACTCTGTCACCCAAGGCTGGAGTGCAG